AAATACAAAATCTTCGATAAATCAGTAAATATTAAAGCTAATTTATTCAAAATTGATGTTTGCAACAATTCTTTACCAAGAAATACGTTTATGATAAAATTTTGGAAAATGGGCGTGGCACCGCCCACTTATGCTCACATATATGTATCTCGGTAACCGTTATAACGATTTGTACCAAACTCGGTATGGTTATTGTGCTTGCCACATGAAAGCAAAACGTTGAAAAATATTGAAATCGGACTAAAATTACGGCCGCTTTTCATATAACGGTAAATTTCAGAAATGCTTGAAACTTCAATATTTCGAAATTTAAGGACGATAATTTACTCAAAATTAATACACCCCGGCTTACCATGTAGCGGTAGCTACATACTTGCGCCGGGTATTTAATGTTCGGCTTCGCCCGAACTTAGACTATCTTACTTGTTTTAAATCAACTAATTGAAAACTACTTTAAAACAAATGTGGTTAGTAAATGTTTCGAATTTTGATACTCTTTTTACTCGAAGGAACAGTTTGTATGTTGGAAGTATGAAAAAGCATCTGTGAAGTGCAGAACGAAAGTGTATTCAAACGAAACATACCGACTGTAAAGAGATTTAAATCAAATGCATTTTAAAGTAGTTGAGAGTTGGACAATTTGGGGGAAAAAGTGAGAATTTCAATTAGTTGTTATTGAAAATAAAGTAAATCATAAATTACTTTAAAATTAATTCAATTACCTGCAGGGTATATGTTTTTTTTTTTTTTTTCCAACGGAGGGGGAATCTTCCAAAGATGTTATGCACGATTCGTCATCCTGTCCGCTAAGGGTGCACCTCATTCGGGACCACGCCCAGACTATGTTATCACATAATTCAGGACTTGCGAGACAGCGCGCCTACGTACTAAACCCTTAACTCCGACGTCTGAAGCCTTGTGTTTCGCCTTGCGGGACCGCCGTTAGGTATTACGTCGCAAGGCGTAACTTTGCCAATTGGCTCTTCACACACGCCTTTCTGGCTTATCTCTCGTTCAGTCTTCTCTTTTCGCTACTGCGCTGTCGTTCTTTCGCTCTTAGCTCCTGGAGGACTATTGCGGACCACGCCTTAATTCTGCTCCACACCGCTTTTGAGTTTATCATGTGCCCCACGATATTGTCAGGCGTCATGCTCTCCTTTATCAGCTGCTCTATGTCTGTGCGATCTGCCTCGTATTTTCGGCAGTGGAAAAATACGTGTAGTACGTTTTCGTCGCCGCTACCGCAGAATGAGCACTCTGTCCCGTCATCATGCCCATATTTGAACAGGTATTCTCGAAAGCAGCCGTGCCCCGTCAGCAACTGTGTCACGTAGAAGTCGGTCTCTCCGTGTTTCCTCTCCACCCACGCTTTTATGTTATTGATCAGCCTGTGCGTCCACCTCCCTTTTGTCGTCACATCCCAGTGTCTTTGCCATTCATTTAGACTTGCATCCCTCTCTTGTTTTCGCTCTTCGATTGTCAGGCACCTGCCTAAGTTTCGGGACTTATCGAAGACTCTTTTTAGCTCCATGGCCATTATTTCTGGGGGCATGATGCCCGCTAAGACTCCGACCGCCTCGTGTGACACAGTACGGAAGGCGCTAGTCACCCTGATGCTATTTAGTCGGTACACCGACTTTGCCGCCTTCGCGTAAGTCTTGCGCTGCAACGCGGGTCCCCAGATGGGTGCTGCATACATTAGTGTGGACTGGCTCACTTTTGCTAGAAGCGCTCGTCTGTTTTGGCTCGGTCCGCCGATGTTAGCCATTAGTCTTGTTAGAGCCGTGGTCACTCTTGCCGCTTTTTCACAAGCTTTATCAATGTGCACCTTGTAGCTTAATCTCGAGTCTATCATGACACCCAGGTATTTCAGCGACTGCTGTGTTTTGATGCTATGTCCATCGATGTTGAGCGTAACGCTCTCCATCTTTTTCCGGCTTGTGATCACCACCGCTTCGGTTTTTTGCCCTGCGAGTTGGAGATTCGTTGCAGCGAGCCAGTTCTTTATTTGCTGCGCCGTGCTGTTGCAGATGTTCTCAACTTGGTAGAGGTCTTTGGCCACTACTGTTATTGCTGCAGGGTATATGTGCGGCTGTTCATTTGTACACATACTTCTTACTGGCACTCATTTAAAGCAACCAGTTCAGTGACTGCAGCACAGTTTGTGCCATAAAAAATGGTACTTTCTTCTTCATTTTGTCATTTGTCGCCTCTCGCAGCTAGGCGGGCTTTGCATGTATGAGTATGCGTAGATATATATGTATATACAATGTAAAAGTATGTTTATGTATATACTGCTGATCCCTTTATAGCTTTTATGACAGTAGCAGGCTCGAGATTTTCTGATCCCAATTTGGCCCCTTTCATCTGCTTGTCTATGCGCTCGCAATTTCATTTAATACATTCGCAGTTTTTTTCTGCAGCTCTTCATTTTGCTTGATTTTTAAGTTTATTTTTTGTGCTTCTTTATTTTATCTTTTTTGTTGTTTCTTTCGTTTTTGCCAGCTTTATGATTTTTCATTATTACTTCCATTTGGCGTTTTGGCCAAGTTTTATGCTCTTTACGTTTTTTTAGTTCAAGGTTTTTTTTAGCCATACTCTTCCTCATTCGATTCAATTTCTTTTGCTATTGTTACGAAGTAGGCATTGTAGGTGCGAGAGTGCAAGATTCTGTGTAGTTATGGGTGCATGTGGGCTAGGGGTAGAATAGTGTAGCAAAATAAGAGCGCATATCAATGAGAAACACCCCATTGACATGATTTAAATGTAAACTCGCCAGCAAAAGCATAGCTGGAAAAAAGTGAAAGCTGAAAGGCAATGTTAAGCTAAGCGTTGAAAATCAATTTGTATATTTAAAGCATCGTTTTAGGCTGTCATGCGCATGCTAGGGATACGGGTTGCTTAATTTCCTATGTATGCCAAAGCTGTAAAATACAAAAGGACGTAGCGAGAGGTTTAATCTGTTGCGCTAGATCAGAAAAAAAAACAGCTATACGCCCCACATACTTGCGTACATATTTATTCGAATGAGTAATCGTATACATATGTGAGTTCAATTAAGGTCAAACGGACTGGAATTTGTTTTAATAAATAATAATCCAGATATTCTTCGATGAATACTATTTACATTCTCTGGTATTATGGTATCGAATATATCTGATGGCAGAAGGAACTTTTTATTTATTCCGATCGAATCCAAAAACTACTGAACTGGTTTCTGCATTTCTATGCGTAGACGTACTTGCTTCTGTAGTGCACCCATGATTTTTTTCATCGGAACTGCAACGACAGCAAAGCGGTCTTAGCCTAGACACACATCTCATCGGGCCCACGCCCAAAAGTGGTTCACAAATGGTTGAAAAACCATCGATGGTATACGGGCAGCAGTCTATTATCCCACGGCAAAGATCTCCATCCCCATAAAGAAATACCGAAGAAACTTCTAAGCGAAGGCTTACGACACCAGTTTTTGAGCAAACGTAAATCAGCAGATATGTACATACAAGGAGCCAGCATATTCTTCTTATCAGAACAAGCCAGGCTGCACTAAAAGTCATATGTTCCGTGAAAGAAAACCAGGGATATTATAGGCTAGGTCAGGTTGTTATAAATCGCAGGCTTTCGTCAAACCTAAGTCTGATACATCGGGGAAAAAGTATTGATGGAGACATCGTCGCAATCGTTCGCTGGAAATTCTATTCTGCTATCAAGTATTACCGCACGAAATTCCCAAGCCGCAATGACTGCACTTAAGGAAGTGTGCAGTTCTTTGAGGGCTCAACTGTCTTTACGGACGGATCAAATACGGAATGCGGGGCTAGTGCATTTTCGTTGCCATTGGCTGCAGGGCGGCTTTGTATGCTACTCCACTGCAGCACAACACTTATCGTCATACCAATTGTTTCGACATGGGTGTTAGTTGTCAACCACCTATTTGGCACTGACACCGAGTGTTTGGGAGATGGAATCGAATTCGAGCGTAAATAATTGCTTGTTCAATCACGATTGAGAGTCAAGCGCGAAATTTCTCGGCTATTGTACTTCATTGCACACGCATTCGGACCTTAGCTGCAACAAGGTATTGATCCGGAGCGTATCTTCCATCTTTCACACCGTCATCAACTTGTTTCTTGGTTTTTTAATCAGAGGCCACCAAGTGGCATCATGGGTATTTTGATGCTGGTATTTGGTACTACTAAGTACCATTTTCCGTGCCGTTGCGTAGTCGGTAGTCCTCTCTCCGTTGTCCGAAATGTCATGAAGACTGGGTTTTGGACCATAAATACTTTCTGTGCCCATCGCGGCATTAAAGTCACTCTCTGATCTCATAAATATGGCTAATATTATTGAATTTAGCCCTTGTGCTGAGTATGCCTATTCAGTCTTTGATGGAGGTGAATATGGCACAAGGTGCCTCATGGATAAAAAGTGAGCTTAAGCTCCGACTCTAGTTCTAGTATAAATTCTTAAGCATGAGCTCTCTTCATCAGTGCAAAAATTTAATCTAAGCTTGAGCTCAGTTTTAATGCATGAGGCCCAAGGTATCGAAGTCTCCGCCCACCAAAAACCGTACACTAAATTAGTGTTCCGTCTTTTAGAAGCTTTAGTAGATGTCGCACGTTGCAAATTTTTTGCCGCCTCGTGCTTGATTCTTGTAATGCGGAGATATCAGTTATATAGCATACAACAGCTTGACAGGGTCATATTTCCTATAGATGGTGCGGAAATTTCGGCTGCATATCCGTAAATTGTAGTCTTTGCTCCGTTTGCAGGTTTTTCAGAGTTGAGCGGCTTTTTTGGTATTTTCATTTACAGAATTTTGTAATCAAAATTTGCAGATCGAAATCATGAAGACTTCAGCAATTTGCAGGAAAAAAAATTATTAAAAGTATATGCATACATTTATTCCACTTCTGAATAATAAAATATTTCCTTCACTCTCAATTAACTTTTGAATTACGAACTTTTAACGCATCTCTTCTCTATTTTTTCACTTTCAGGTTGATATTTCCTGCCGCAATACTAAACAAACAGTTAGCTCTATATTGACACGCACAAACTTTGTCACACTGAAATATGTAACCGATAATTGGGGTACAGATGCGAATGGTTTCAAGCTGGTTATAACATCGGTCAAGGATCCAAGTATGTATACGTTTAAAAATCAAATTCAAATGAACTCATAACACTTGCTAATTTACTCTGAAGCTGCAGATACGGTAGCAATCTTTCGTTTTATAGCCATTACTTTTGTCTTTTCAAACATAACTTGATGCAAATTCCTTAACTCATTTATTAACCGTTTTTTTTTCATTTTTTCTAACGCTACGTCTAACCACTATTTTTCTTATGCAAATTTACAGAGCACACCTGCAATGATTTCACCTGTGCAGCGCGTGAATTTTGCATAAGTCCGGATTTACTCTGCGATGGCATTAATCATTGCGGTGACAATTCTGATGAATCGGTGTGCCAAAGTAAGTATAAAATAATAAGAGAAAATGTATAAGTGTGAAGAAGGAGACAATAGAGTATAAAAAATATTACTGTAATTGAATTAGTAATTTAGTAAGCTGCTTTTATTATGCATTCCCTAAGTAAGGAGAGCAGTTTAAGTACTTCAAAAAGTGCGAAAAAAATTTCATTAATAGGGGGATTGAGTTGGTGGGCGAATATTTAAAAAAAAATATATATATTTTCTCAGCTTTGTTAGCATAAAGCTCGGAACACTTTATGTTTAAGAAGCTGGCTTCAAGGCGACATTTGTCGACAAAATGATGTCGCTGTCGTTACGTCGTGAAGTTGCAGTCGTCAAAGTGTTCCGAGCTTAAAATGTCAGTAGCTTCGTTGATTGCCAAGCAGAAAGCTTTCAATGTAGCAATGTCCATTTCATTATTTTCTTACATTTATGTATAATACTTTATTTACTTTTAGGCGAAACAGCTGCCACAGTTTTCGGGGTAGATATGACTTGGTTTGTGTTGATCGTAGTCGGTATCGTACTGGTTTTGAGCGCCGTAATCGTAGGTATTTCGATATGCGTTTGCCGACGACATGATGAAGCGAACCTCAACCAAAATACAGCAATACAAAGTGAGTCATCTCATACATACATATATGCTCATACTACTTGTGTATACCCGTAAGGGAGGTCCTAAAAATATCGGCAGCTAAATTTTGTATAGGGCTCGCCTTTTTTTTTGTTCTAATACATAAAACGTAAAGACATCCAATAAAATTACAAAATTTTTAATAAATTTTTAATAGTAGATACCAGCAGGGTTTTAAAAAATTTAAATTTTTCAAAGTCGCGAAATTTCGACAAAACTTTAACTTTGACCAGCTATAACTCAGCGTATTGTAGCTTATTATGATGAAGTTTTGTCGAATTTTTGCGATTAAGGGCCAAATTCACAGTGCGTAGTTAACCACTGGCAATAGTTTAACTATTGATTTCGATATACACAACGCTCAGTTAACAAAAGTTTAAATCAGCATGCCCCCATAGTTAAACTCTGTGAAATTTAATTTTTTTTTGTGGAACGAATTTCAAATTTGAATAGAATAGTATTGATATTTAGAATTTGTATGTTTTCAGGCGATATGAATTTTCATAGTTAACTTTGTGACTCTGAATATAAATTCAAAGTTAAACTCTTGTTGGTGGTTAAGTTAACAATCGTTGAACTAGGCATTGTGAATCCCGCCCTAAAAAAAAATAAAAAATGCGTATATAACACCGTACACATGATAGAAGTGAAACTTCTTAAAAAAGGTGTGAGTACCAGGTACCTACTCACGAAATTGGATGTGTAAACATATGTTTACGGTTCGGCAAACCATTAGGCGATTGAGTTACATACATAAGTTTGGTTAGAAATCAAACAATAATTTCATTTCATCTTATTAATTTTCTGTTATACATATAACTTATTTATTCATTTTCCGGTAACACCACCTTATATGAATTCGCGCTTCTAGCATCCATAGGACCGGGTTGTAATGGAAGTATTTGTATGTTTAACAAATAAATAAAAATGTTTATAATGCAATCAATAGATCCTTACGAATTCGCCATTACCAAGGCACTAAGTAACGTACGCACTTATGTTTGCAAAATGCATTTATTTAAGTTGAAAGAAGACAAATTCCTTTGTTCGGCATTTATTCTTACTCGCTTTCTATCTTCCAAGGCGAATTCATATACTATGTATTCTTATCACGAATTCATATATTCATGTGGTAGCAAGAGTATAAAAACATAAAATTACCTTATAAATTAAAAGCATAAGTATCACATGTATGCGTAGTCCAAGTCACGAAATCATTTCATCGATCTGAGTAAAAACTAAGTGCATAAACTCTATTTTGCGTTAATTGAAATCATGAAATGGTGTTCATTCATTCAGTTTCTACTCAAACGCATGAAATGATTTCATGAATTGGCCTACGCATAATGGTAGTAAATGACAGAACGAATTACAACAAGCACATCCTTTTGACATAATGCAAGCCAAAAACGTTGGTTCAAATCAATCCGCAATCAAGTTGGCAAAACGTCAAAACGTCACAAACATTGCAATTTTACGAGCAGTCTCATTGTAAAATCTCATTTTAACAATTTCATAGTTTCGGCTTACATTTATAAAATTCAACGAAAGTACGTACCTATTTCGGCTGAGTTATCCATTTTCGGTTATTTAGTGTACAAAATAAACGCAAATTAAATGAGTTTGTACAACATGGCCATTAATGTAGCGATAAGTTGTACAACTTGCCAGAAAATCCAAATTTTTTGATCTTTCATACAACCAAGACATAAATTCATTCAACAGGCCCACAAACGGTGCAATCTAGAGCAAAACAACACCAAGTTGAACCAACGGTCGCTACGTTTATGGCTTTCTTTAAGAAACATCAGGCGAAAATTTCAACTGCTCCTGTAACACTACCTTATATAAGTTGGCCTTGCTATCATCCTCACATATGTATGTTCATCAGAGTATACCAACGAAGGACGAGTTAATACAAGGAGATGGCGAGAGCACAAAACTACTCTACAAAGTTACACGCACAATGACAAACATGAACAAATGTACGACAAACACATAATTTTTGACAATCAGTACAGTTCGCATTTATATCAACGAGCAGCTTATTAGATTTGTTTTCGTTTGTACTACATATATGTGTACACAAACATATGTACATATGTACGAATGGATGTAGTTACGCGAAGCACGCTTTATACCTTTATTGCTTGGTAACGGCAGAGCTGAAATGCGCAATGAGTTCGTTCATACATACATATATATGTATACATACATACGTGCACTCAAACATACATATATACATATGTAGGTACTCGTACCCGTCATGCGTCGCTTTAATTCTTTTTTCCCCTTACCTATACTACCTATATCTTCCTTCTCACTCATGTAACGTTTTCAGTTTTAAAAATTTCACTCTCCATTTTTGCGATACCGCCGCCTAAGAAGTTTCACTTCAAAAGAAGTTTCACTTTATTTTATTCCTAAAAAGAAATAAATTATATTCAACAATTTTTATTGAGCTTGGGGCCGCTTTTAATGAAAAACTGTTGTGGAAAAGCAACAATAATTTTGAAAAAATGGTAGAAGTGATAGCTATTTCCGAAATCACCACATTTCCTCATCCGAAATTTTCGTGATTTCGGAAATAGCTATCACTTGTACCATTTTTTCAAAATTATTGTTGCTTTTCCACAATAGTTTTTCATTAAAAGCGGCCTCAAGCCCAATAAAAATTTGTTGAATATAATTGTTATCAGGCCATAAAATAACAAAAACTGAAAAAAATAAAGGCATGCCCCATCACGTTGATATTTTAAGGACCACCCAACTATGCATATATATACGGCAATAAAGTAATGTCCTCTCTCCCAACTCTTTTTCCAGTGCATCATACCGCCGAAACAAATGGCTCATCGAAGCATCTGCACTATCATCATGGCGGCACATTGTCGCGTGAACACACACAACTGCCACCGACGTCGGGAAACTGGCATCACCCTGCGGGACCATACGGGTACCACCGCATTCTACGCAACTTATCGAAGATGGCCACCAAAGTCCGTCCCATTTGGTGCTTAGCAAATTCCGTCAATTAGGTCATGATCTTTCACATACAAATCCGGCCGCCGCCGCTGCTGTCGCAACAGCGGGCCTCCATCAAACGAACATATCTGTGGGTAATCAAAATACAGCGGCCGCAGCAGCAGCCGCCGCAGCTGTCAGTGCTGCACAGAAGGATGAATGGTTCGTTTAGGTGGACGTTGAGGAGGAGGAGAATGAAGATAGAGGAGCAAAACATTAAGCAGTGAATGATCAATTAGACTACAGGAGAACTGTTGTTTTTTCTTTTTAAATAATTTTTAAATTAAAAAAAAAAGGATTTTGCATGGCATTAAATGAAGTAAGTATGACGAGTGACAAGAGTATACACATACTTAGCTTAGTAATTCTATTATAAAGGGCAGTAGTATGAGAGCTTTTAGATGCAATGAGCTTTCATAAATAGTAAGAACAATAAAATTGTGTAAGGTCATAGCATAAATGTTTTATTCGTGAAAGCTCTCAAATTTCGAAAACTTTATCAAAATATTACAAGAATGAGCTTAACGTGCATAAACGCACGAAAGCCATTGCCATTTATTTTAGTACGAATTTAAAAGAGTATGAGCCTTTTTGGTAAAGGTGCTTGAATTCCAAAAGCTTAGCTAGTATACGACGATTGATTGTAGCTGAAAATCAGCATTTAAAAAAGTACATTTGTGCAAATGAGCGACAAAGAAATACAAACTTTTTGCGAAAGCTCCGTTATGTGCGTAATAAAAGACACCAGCTTGTGTGGTTTATTAAAAAGTATGTGGTTTTGTGCAAATGAAACCTTCCCAGGCCCGAAGCTCTAGCAAACTTTTGATATTTACTTTAATAAGTGTACATTAGTATGCCTCACCAAGAAAGTCAGTCTTTCCATCGGAATTGTAAAATTTATTATATTTTAAAAACTCAGCCAAAATATTTCGCAATAAATATTAAAAAATCGAATTATTTTAATTCCGTTGACAAAATGTTTTAATATTTTTATGCGGTTTTATTAAGCTTAAGCTTTTTTATCATCCTAGGTGATTATTTACTAAAGATATTTTTTAAAATTAGTTTTATTTAGAAAAAACTCGATGTTTTGAGATATTTTCAAATTAGTCCAGCTCAAGTTAATCTTAATATTTTTCCAAATTATTTTGGTATTTTTCCAAATTATTTTGGTGGAAGTCTTATAATACAATAAATTTTATAATTCCAATGGAAAAACAATTTTTACTGCACCTTTTATTCCTACTTATTTTAGTGCCAACTTTTCTTCATTGCAGGACTGTATAAAAGTTATCAACATCAAATTTAGTGGGCATCTACGCGCAGGGTGATCATTTAAGAGATTTATAGTACCCAAATCTCTTAGCGTTGAGCATAGAAAATTTCAGCATGCACTTGTCAAAAGTATGTATGTATGAAATTTTAGTGTCGGATAATCAACGCAACTTGTAAATAAAATATAAATACATATAAACAATTAAATAAATGTAATTGTAATTGATTGAAATTGAAGTAATATTGTTTTTTTAGTAACACATTGATGGATTCAAAATGTGTAACAGTGAATATATTAGGAAAAATGTGTAATAAAAATTTACTAAAAGAAAGGTAGTTAATAGAGAATTTTAATTTTAAGCCTAAAAATATGAAATGAAAACTGGATGAAGTCAAAGCCGTAAATTTAAAGCTAAGCAATTAGTTTTAGCCTAAGATATACGCTCCTTTTTTACAATAAAAATAAATTGAAAAGCGAATATAATAAAAATTATAAAAAATAATTAGTTTAAGAAATAGAACTTGATTTCTTGCAAATAAAACTTCTCATTTACACACACAGGAATATGGAAAGTTTGGATGGAAAGTCGATCTTCGTTTTTTTAACAATATTTTAGTCTTTACAGTGGTTACTACATAGCTTTCAAAATATCTCAACTATTAATAACTGCCTAAACACAGCAGATAAAAAAAATTTTGGAGCTTTTGTGCTTTTGTTTTTTAACGTTAGACTTCAGAAATGGGAAAATGGCTTTTGAAAAGTGCTTTAGAACTTTCATTAGAAAAGCTTTTTTGATTCAGTTTCTTATTCAATGGCCTGAAAACACTTTAAAAAATTTCGTTTTACGCTTCGGTGCTTTTATGATTTTATTTTTTAAAGTTATCTTCAATCAAATGATCTTTAAGTTTATAGAAATTTCGTGCGTGCTGTTAAGTTGAACTCTGGAAAAAAAGCTTTCGAAGACTCCATTTTCTGCATTTGTGACTTGTATACTTAAGTTAGTGTACACCAAAAAAGCTTGTAGGTTCATTGAGTTCAAAGAAGTTTCAAAATGGGAAAGCTTAAGAACTGATTGTTTAGTACAACAGTCTGAAAAATTGCTTTGAGGATGTCATTTTATGCTTTTCAAGCTTCAGTGTTCGTATCTCTTTAATTTAGATTTTCTTATAAAAAGCTTTTAGTTTATTTCAAGAGGTGAAAATCTTTTAGCTGGTTAATGGTTTCAATAGCCAGAAAAACGCTTTAAAGGTGTGACTTTAAGCTTTTAGGCCTTCGTACTTTTGTGTGTGTGTTTAAAGTTAAAATTCAACAAAAAAGCTTCAAAGTTATTGTGCAAATTTTTAATTGAGAAAGCTTTGAAATTAATAGCTTTATTCAATAACCTTAAAAAAGCCTTTGAAGATGCTATTTTCACCATGTTGTTTTTGAAACTCGATGTGTAGATTTCCTTAGCGTTAAAAAAACGTAAAAACGCCTTGCCTGTCTGCGGAATAAAATATCTCTCTGCACATCGCTTTTCTATGTATACTAATGTTAGCCAGAGAGAGCTTTTATTCCCTGCTCATCCACATATACAAAATGTATATCCAACTTAAAAAAAAAGTGTTGCATGGGTGACTATGAAGGGGCCAACATTATTGTTAATGCTTTCAGGCACAGACAGAAAACTGTATTAAGCATTGAAAATAACACTTTTTTTGTATGTTATTCTCTGAAAGCTCAAAACCATGAAAAATTCTGCATGAGTGACTATTTCGTAACCTACTCTACTTTAAAAACTTACGGGTTCACAAATTAAGCTATGGTTTGAAAGCTCAATTATGACACCATTTGTCAATGAGAGTTGTTTGATTTTTCAAACTTCTTTTGAATTTTTCGAAAGAACTTTTTTATAAATAGTTTACGTCTCGTAAATTTGGTAAAAACATTTTACTCGCTGAAAGTTTCAGCTAAAAAGCTCTCATAACATTTTGTTATTTTTAAAAGCGCAAAAGCTGTCTTTATAAAAATCCGACGTTGACAAGCGACAATCGAAAGCTTTCATCGAATTTTTATTTCAAAAGCACAAAAGCTTCTCTCATTTGAAAATTCAATGCTGACAAAGGATCTAAGAAAAGAGGAAAGAGGATTGAAAAGCAAAGCTCAGCGGTAAAACATTTCAAGAATCCCAGAAAACCGAATCAAATAGTATTACAATATCAAAGCCGTTGGCGACGATAATATTGAAAAGCCACTTCCATGAGGAAAATAAATTTTCAAACACAAAAATTTTAGGAAAACTAAAGTAGTATGAAAATAATTGTAAAAAAGCTCACTTGTAGTTAATAAGGCAGGACAGTGCAATAATAAAATTTTTCCCAAAGTTCGTAAGTACTTAATCATTTCAAAAAAAAACCTGTACACTGCAAATTTATATAAAAGCTATGGAATATTATAAAAAATAGTGCAAATAATACGAAATTGTAGCTAACTGTTTAAAAGCCACAAAGAAAAACTCAATTTAATATTACTACATATAATAAAACAACAAACAAGGGATGTAAATAGTTGACAATACAGCAAAAAAAAAACATTAAATATATAGATTGAATGAAAAGAAAAGATACCAAAAAAATCTGTAAAGCTAAACGATAATATCAAAGAGCGAATACCAGAATCAGTTACACATTTTCATCAAAAATTTTAGATTTTTATGTCAAATTCAGCGCTTAGTAGATTTGTAGTTCATTTTCATCAAGAAATTTATTCTGTCCCATGAAGCCAAGACGAGTAACATTGCAGAGAAAAGTCTAGAAGCAGTTAACATAAGTTAGAAGCAATTATGTATGTGTCTTTATTTCATTTAATTTTTATTTTTTTATTTTTTTTAATTTTAGTTAATACCATTCCCTTGATTTTCTTCAGTAATTTATAGGCAAATAAGTACTTAAACTTTCATTGGATAAGTTTTATTTACTGAGTAACATAAATGAACAATCGCCAATGACTAACGCATTTTAAGCCAAATATTAATTGTTGTGTTCTTATAAAATCGTCCCATCTGACTCATTTTTAAAAGTTGTACTAATTCTCTCGTTAAAAATATGTGATACAAAGTTGCATGGTACCTAATCTATCATATGATGCATGTCACATGTCCAATGAAAAAATATCACATGCTCATATATCACCAGATGCATCATCAAATATCACGCGAGGTAACATCGCTTGTGCATACATACATATATTGATTGATCATGCTCTTATTTTAGAATATGAAATATCATTTACGGAAATTTTAATATTTTAAGGTTGTTTAATGAAATCTTGTTCATTTGGGATCTGTACATCACATGCTTGAGCATACAAACCAATATTAAATCACATCATTTCAAATCGCATCACTTCAAGCAGTTCAATTAAATTTCACCTCATAATTCCGCAACTCTTATAACATAGCATTCCGAAAATGACACGTTTTAGTGAAAGATCAAATTAAATAATATCAAATGACGCATAAACATACATATATCTATAACAAGACTGTCGAGAACGTTCTCAGCGCGAATAATATAAGCAAAAAAACCCTGGGGTACGTTTCCTATAGTTGGATTTACATGCGACGATTTTCCAGGCAATTCAACATTGCTCAAGAAGTATCGCTCGTGTAAATGGTGATTAAAAAATCGCTTGCCTCAAAGTAGACAGCAAGTCAACTTTTGCAGGCGATTATCGCCTATCAAATAATCGCCTCATTTAAAGGCAGCTTACGCGAACAATCATTTTGGGAACATTTATAAGACAACAAAAGTCTCCGGTACGTTCTGGCAAAATACAAAACAGGAACAAATGTCTAAGGACTTTTCTCCTTTTCTCTCGAAAAACAATTTTGGAACTAAAGTCTTCGGAACTATTTACGAAGAATGGAAGGCGCGAACTTTTCTTGCTTAGAAAATGAAAAATTGTTTCATAAATGGACAGCTCCCCTTTATGTATTAGTATTACCAATCATGATTCTCACTGAAACTAATTTTCATCCCCTAATGCAAACGCCTCTCTCACTCTTAACGTTAAGTTCTCAAAACTTTTGTTCTCGTTTTGTTCTCCACCAGAATGTTACCCAGACTTGAAAACGTTCTCGATACTTTCTTTCTCATCGAAAGTTCCGTTCTCATTTCGTTCTTCTTAAGAACGTTCTTTAGAGGTTTGTCCTAATTTTGTCCTTTTCGAGAATATTCCTGAGAGTTTTGTTCGCATTTTATTCTTAACGGAAGCGTTCCCGAACCGTTTGTCCTCATTTTGTGCCCGTTCAAACTGCTCAATACTTTTGTTCCCGTTTAGTTCTTTTGCGGGAACGTTTTTGACATTACATGTTATTCTCGTGGGGAACTAAACCAAAACCGGAACGCGTTCTCGGTCCCTGGTATAAGCTATACCTTTGTAAAAAAAAATAAATGGTCTAAAATTGTAGCGAAGAAGAGTCCCTAAATATGTGGCTACCACTGTATATTGGTCATTATGGCCTATGGCTTTCTATCATTTTTCGGGTAACTCCATAATTCCATCTGTGTAGAACTTTTTTTACTCCGTCGCCTGTGGCGTAGATCAATACCTGGTTGGAAAGATTGTTGCTTATAATCCTCCGAAGATATGTTCAAACTTTAAACTTCTGGAGAGCGTGGAGTATTTTCTGCCAGCATGCAGTATTAAAAGCATCCTTCATGTCCAGAGTAATAGCAAGCAGCACTTCTTCGATCCAACTTTTCATCGTTGCCCGCTGATCGCTCCTACAGCGGATCTACCCTTTCGGAAACCGAACTGCATATCTGATAGTCGTCCACCTGCCTCGATCGCTGCTACTACTCTGTTATTTGTTAAACAGTCTAGCAAATTTCCCATCATGTCTAGCATATACATAGAGCGATATGCTGCAGGATCACCCGGTGGTTTTCCAGCCTTGGGTTGCAGCACTAAACGCTGTTGCTTCCATATAGCAGGGAACAAACCTTCCGCAAAGCGTCCATTGAACGTATGAACAAATACTTCGGGACTCGCCCTCGAGATGAGTTTAAGCACACAGTTAGGAATGGAATCAGGGCCTGAAGATTTTCGGGAAATAAAAAAATTAGCCGCGCCTATAACTTCTCCTTCGGCAACTTCAGGAAAAACACACTTTTTTCTGGGAAATTTTTCTCATGAAAAGTTAGCTTCAACGGAAATAGCTCGTTAACGATTTGCTCTACCTGTTTTTGGGCATTTTATCTGTGGCCGCACTGAATTTTTCTCCTTTTTTGTAACCACCTTGTAGGCCAATGCCCATGGGTCTCAGAAATGGTTCGATTTCATTGCGTTTCACTGATGGTAATTCGCTCAATCGATTTCTTTCAGCAATTTCATGTGCCACCCAAACATCGAGCTTGCTTAAGTAGCCTGCTCTCCTTATATGCTTGATTTTTAGTGCTTCCATTTACATTATTTCATCGACTTTTCCAGTGATTGGCTGACAAGAGGGAGGTGCATTATTACATCACAATTTCCAAAACGGAATCGATCAAACCTCTCCTAAGTCCGGCGTTTACTTACAGCATTTTCACCGTACACTGCACACATTTTTTTCTGCATGTGTTTTTATGTCCTTTTCGCCCTTTTTATAGTACAAAAAAAAGCATCGCGTGCAACACAACTTTTTGCACGAGCGACAAATTACAGAGCGGTCTTCACTAAAAATGTAACCTGAAATGTCAAATTTTCAAGCGCACGTCAGTTTGTTGCCATTACATTAGTGTTGCCAGATGTATCGTCATCAACACCACATAGTGACAAAAATTCGCCGAGAATTTTCATATGAGCCAATATTTCATTGCCAACTTTATTAATGTCACATCACATAGAACTCATATAAAACATTACCACTTTAACAGTCAGTCGCTGAAACATCTCATGAGTTTTGAACCATATCAGCACATCGCGCGATTAGTGTTAATCTTCGCACTTCACAATTTATTTCATCCCATTCAATACATTACTTCTGATTGTGCAAAATCACACGATTTCTCAGCATTTTATAAAATATTCATCACATCACCTGAGGAGAGCATATGGATATCACATCGTACGTTCTTAGCAACATATCACTTGTTGTCGTAAT